AAAAGACCAAGGTTATCCAATGAAGAAGAGCCAAGGAGTTCGAAGGGTAAAATCAATGTGATTCTAGGAGGCTCCAAACTTTGCCGAGATTTGATAAGTTCCATCAAGAAGCATAGGCGAAATGTTCTACTCAGAGCAAGTTTGAGTGAAGAAGTCAATTTTCAAGGTGCATCAATATCATTTGACGAAGAAGAAACGCGGCACCTCCAAAGACCTCATGATGATGCCCTAGTCATTACCCTGAACGTTGCCAACTTCGAAGTATCAAGGATTCTTATCGATACGGGCAGTTCGGTCGATCTAATCTTTTTAAGTACTTTAGAAAGAATGGTAATTAGTCGGGCAAACATAGTAGGACCTCCATCTCCGTTAGTAGCATTCACAAGTGAATCAGCCATGTCCCTCGGAACAATCAAGCTACCGGTCCTTGCCAAACAGGTGTCAAAGATCGTGGATTTTGTTGTTTTTGATAAACCTGCGGCTTACAACATCATTCTCGGGACTCCTTGGATTTATCAAATGAAGGTAGTCCCCTCTACGTATCATCAATGTATCAAATTTCCAGCACCAAGTGGAGTGGAAACAATTCGGGGAGATCAAGAAGCTTCGCGAACATGTTACCTAGCTAGCCACCGTTTGAAGATCCAATAGCAATTAAAAAAACCTGCAAAGGAGGGACTAAATCCAAGATTTCCTAGCGGGCAAAGAAAAGATGATGTAGTGATCGAAGTGGTGTTGGAAGAGGACAAACCAGATCGGAAAGTCCGAATTGGAGCTACTTTAACTGTCCAAATAAAAGAAGCTTTGATCAAACTTTTGAGGAAAAACAAAACATCATTTGCATGGTCAGCGGCGGATATGCCTGGCATAGATCCAAGCATAATTTGCCATGAGCTAAACGTGGATCCAAGCTTCAAGCCTGTAAAACCAAAAAAGAAGAAAGCTTGGAGTGGAGCGAGCGAAAATAGTAAATGACGAAGTGGACAAACTCTTAAAGATAGGATCCATAAGGGAAGTACAATACCCGGAATGGGTAGCAAACACTGTCTTGGTGAAAAAAAGAATGGAAAAGATAGGGTTTGCATAGACTTCACAGACCTCAATAAAGCATGTCCCAAAGATAGTTTCCCGCTCCCGCATATAGACCGACTTGTAGAGTCCACTGCTGGGAATGAGCTGTTAACCTTCATGGATGCCTTCTCGGATTATAATCAAATAATGATGAAACCCGAAGATCAAGATAAAAACGTCATTTGTCACGGATAGAGGTATCTATTGTTACAAAGTAATGTTTTTTTGGTTTGAAAAATGCAGGAGCAACTTATCAACGGTTGGTTAGCAAAATGTTCCACAATCATCTCGGGAAGACAATGGAAGTCTACATAGATGACATGTTGGTTAAATCGTTAAAGAAGGAGGATCACGTTAAGCATCTAGAGGAATGTTTCGATATTCTCAATAAGTATCCAATGAAGCTGAACCCGGCAAAGTGCACATTCAGAGTCCCATCCGGGGAATTTCTCGGCTATATTGTGACGGAAAGAGGGGTTGAGGCCAATCCAAATCAAATCAACGCCTTTCTAAACATGCCGTCTCCAAAAAACTTCAAGGAGGTATAACGTTTGACTGGGCGGATTGCGGCTTTGAATCGTTTTATCTCGAGATCAACAGATAGGTCGTTACCTTTTTACCAAATTCTAAAGGGAAACAAAGAATTCCTTTGGGATGAGGAGTGTGAAGAAGCTTTCGGGCAGCTTAAGGCATACTTAACTACTCCACCTATATTATCCAAACCAGAAGAGGACGAAAAGCTTTATCTGTACGTGTCAATTTCGAACCATGCGGTTAGTGGAGTCTTGGTCCGGGAAGACCACAGAGAGCAGAAGCCGATTTACTACATAAGTAAGTCAATGACGGACCCGGAAACCAGATATATAATGATGGAAAAACTCGCACTCGCGGTAGTGACTTCGGCTCGGAAGATGGGCCCATATTTTCAATCCCATCCGGTCGAAGTATTAACCAACTAGCCACTCCGAACAATACTTCATAGTCCAAGTCAGTCCGGACGTTTGGCGAAATGGGCGATAGAGCTGAGCTAGTACGAAAAGCCGAGTCAGCATAAAGGCCCAAGTTTTAGCAGATTTCCTGACTGAGCTACCGATGCCTGGCATGCTAGAGTAGCCGGAAAATCGAACTTGGAAGTTCACGTGGACGGGTCTTCATCAAAACAAGGGTCCGGAGTGGGAATCAAACTGGAATCTCCCACATCGGAAATTCTGGAACAATCGTTCCGATTATTGTTTAATGCCTCCAATAATGAGGCAGAGTATGAAGCCCTAATTGCCGGAATTCGATTGGCACAAGGAGTTGGAGCTGAGGAAATAGTTGCTTATTGTGATTCGCAGCTGGTAGTCAATCAGTTCAATGGAGACTATGAAGCCAAAGATTCAAGAATGGAAGCATATCTCGAAGTTGTAAAGGATCTATAAAAAAACTTCAAGAAAATCGAGCTAATTCGTATACCTCAAGCTAATTCGTATACCTCAACGTCAGATCCTGCATTAAAAAGAATCATTCCGGTAGAGTGCATCTCGGAACGAAGCATTCAAGATAACAAATAAACTCTCGTCGTTACAAGATCTTGAGCAGCGGCGCGTGACCGTGTTGAACCAAAGGTTGAACTGCCACCCATCAAACAAAGGAAATCAAAGGGATCGAACACATCTAACAAGGAACCCGTTGTCTTAGCAGAAGATGTGATTCCAGAAACAGTAATGGAGACCGAGCCATTAATCGAGGATATTCTTGAACCAAACGAGCATCCAGAACCAGAGCCACGAATATTTCACAAGGTCGACCAAATTCCGGCTAAAGACTGGGGGGCTGACTGGAGGGAGCCAATAAAGCGCTACATCATGACAGGCGAGCTCCCAAAGAATAAGTTACAGACAAGGAAAATAAAAATCGTTAGCGCGAAATTTTGTCTATCAAAGGATGCATTGTATAGACGAGGTGTCAGTGACCCTTACCTATTATGCATTTTTGGGCCCGAAGTCGAAATCGTCATGAGCAAAGTGCATGAAGGGTTATGTGGGAGTCATTCATCAGGAAGGACTATGGCTTTTAAAGTTAAAAGAATGGGATATTATTGGCCCACTATGATCACATACTGTGTCAAGTTTGCCCAAAGATGTAAACGCTGTCAACTTCATGCACCATTGATCCATCAACCTTCAGAGTTATTCTCCTCCATCTCTGCCCCATACCCGTTTATGAGGTGGTCGATGGACATAATTGGACCGTTGCACAGATCAGCTCGAGGTGTACAATACCTTTTGGTCTTAACGGACTACTTTTCGAAGTGGATTGAAGCTGAAGCATACGTTAGCATCAAGGATTCGGCGGTGAAGACTTTCATTTGGAAAAATATTATATGTCGACATGGAGTTCCATACGAGATAGTCACAGATAACGGGCCGTAATTCATTTCACACGAGTTCGATGCCTTTTGTGCGGATTGGGGAATCAAAGTTAGTTACTCTACTCTACGATATCCGCAAGGAAATGGTCAAGCTGAAGCCGCGAACAAGACAATACTGAGCAATCTCAAAAAACGCTTGAATCATCTAAAGGGAGGATGGTATATTGAAATCCAACCCGTCCTATGGGCCTATCGTACAACCCCTAGGCGACCTACCGGAGAAACTCCGTTCTCTTTGGTTTATGGCATAGAGGCGGTAGTACCAGCTTAACTCAACGTGCCCGGACTTCGCTGAACAGAAGCACCATTAAATGAGGAAGAAAATTCAGCAATGCTTGAGGATTCGCTGGATACCATAAATGAAAGGTGTGATCAAGCTTTGATTCGGATTCAGAATTACCAGCAGGCAGCAGCCCGATATTACAACACTAAACTCGGTATTAATTGGGAAGGATCTTACATTGTTACCGAAGTGGTTCGCAACGGCGTTTATAGATTGAAAGACTTAGAAGATAGGCCAGTCAAGCGACCTTGGAATGTGATCAATCTAAAGAAGTTTTACGTTTAAGATACACACATTTTTTATGTACATGAACTACGATGTGGCTTGATCCCGAAATGGGTATGTAGGCAGATCGGAAACGAGTTCAGCTACTAATAAAAATTTATTTTATTTTGTTGTTAAAGGGAAAAGTTCGACTGTGCGAACAAACAAAGTAAATGAAGTTCGACTGGGCGAACATACAGAAATTGGAAACAAAGCATTTATTCAAGCAAATATGACAAAATGGCGATCTTCCAACGCTTAGGAAACTCTTCTCGATGTGCAGAACACTTGGACTCCTTGACCGGCGAGGTCAAGGATTGGCATCAGACAATCCGGAATACGAGCGAAGTCAGAAATTCCGAGATCAATCCACTCTCCGGGATGAGAACCGAGGATGTGAAGATCTCTTGATATCGCAGTAACCCTGCGTTGCAGTCGATTAATCTTTTTCTGGAGTTTCTTCTTTTCCAGTGTTAGCTTCCTATGTTGAACCGTAAGTGCTTTGATAAATGCCATCGCGATCTCTTGGTCTCTGTCCGGGAGATCCTTGACCAAGGCACACGAAGTTTGGATTTGAGATCTGAAGAGGCTGCAAGTAGGAGAGGACCGCCTACTCGGCACATCAAAGACATCTTCATCTATCATCTCGACCCTGGAGAAATCAGACATGGACTCCAAACACCGAAGATTGAATTCCATACCTACAAAAGTAAAAGGAATAATGGAGAATAAAGAGAAGTTGAAGCTATAATTTATAGGAATATCATGTCCATTGTAGGTTGCGGTTTCCATCTTGGAATAGAGTGATTTTCGGAGAGATTTAAGCCCCTGCATTAAAGACATATCTCCGAAAATATATCAAGAAAAAGGAAAGAAATAAAACATTTTCCATAAACAAAGTGGGCCGAAGCCCATTACGAGTTTTTTTTTTAAAAAAAGAAAGGAAAAGATAAAGACAGAATTCGGGACATTTATGGAAGGGGCTCAGGAACAGGCTCCTTCATCGCCGATTTAGATTTCGAAGTGGACGCCTCGCTCTTGCCATCCACTCCGGGTTCATTCCGGACACGTATGCAAGAAATGTCATCCTCCTCCTCTTCACTGTCAAGCAGGGTGACTTCGACCGGGGCATTCACGGGTCCTGGAACCTGACCTCTACCACAAAGATACATCCGGAGCATTCTCGGGATCTCAGCGATGGAGTCAAAGTTCCTCCACTCCCATTGGAAAGGGTCGCTTTCCAAAGCCCTCACTTTCCTTTCCACTCGAGCAATACGAGCCTCGAGTGTTTGCCTTTTAAGACCCAGCCGCTGCCGTTCATCGCACAAACGGCTATGTTTATCGACGACCTGCCGCAGAAACAAGTAAATTAAAGAGGAGGACAGAAAAGTCCAGATAAGAAAGATGGTTACTAACCTTGTCCATGAAATCGTAAGCCTCTTTCTTTTCCCTCGAAGGGAAGTGGAACACGGCATGAGGGAAGAGAATGCCGGCTGGCTCGAAGCCATCACCGGATAGGAAAAGTGGGCTGTCGGGATCAATGGGGACTGCTGTTTCGTTTTCCATTGTTGTGGTTTTACCGAATAAATTCTGAAACTCCTTAAAGAAAATTCAGAAGTAGTTAAGCCTTTATTTATAAAGGCTTAGGGTTTGTCTTGGAACCGTAAATCTAATAATGATGGCGTGCACGAGCTCAGTTTTCGCGTTCTAAAGAGAAAGGCCTGATCAGCCTAAAAATCTCGAAAGCATAGCCACAAGACCAAAAAGGGTTAAACGCAGACTTTGCAAACCCGCACATAGTTTTAACCAAACCCTCTTTGGGGTCATAACCTAAAAAGGTTTAAAACCCTCCTTAGGCGAATATCTTGTTCAAAAGAAAATAACGATAAAGCCTCCTTAGGCAAAAACAAGTTCAAAATTTAAAGTTTTAAATAAATGGGACAATCCCCAGTTTAAAGTGGACACAGCCACTACGGATTAGCAACCACCTCGGACTCCGTCTCGGCTGTCAAGGTTTCACTTGTCTCCTTGGCTAGGGTTTGATCAGAAGAAGCTCCAGGCCCATTCTCGACGGTACAACCATCTCCCGGGGTGACTTCCGGTGCAGCAGGAACTTCGGGTGGAACGACACCTTCCGTTTCACTTGAGCCTAGGAAGGAAAGTTCCAGTCAACTAAATATAAGGAAAGAAGAAGGTAGTGAGTATCAAGAGCTAGAGGTTACCTGCCCAGTCTAGACCCGATTCACTTATGGGAGGCAATTCTGTGAAGAATTCCTCGAAGTGCTGAGGATTGAAGGTTGAAGCAGGAAGAGCTACCAAGCGACTCCGCTTTTCGGATAAATTAGCCGTCAGCTCGGACCTTTCTTGCGCTTCGGAGAAATCTTTGTTATGGATTTGATCCAACAGGATCAGGTTGCTCTCGTGCTCCTTGGTGCCAGATTCCAGATCTGACCTAGACTTCTCGGTTTGGATGAAGCGGATGGCCCCTTGAATCAACTCCATCCCACATCCCTTCACCTCTTTTCTGGCCTTCGACGCCGACCTTGCCAACTTGGAATCATGCAACTTGGTGTTCGCGTTGTACTTTGCGTTGAGCTCAATGAGTTGGTTGTTCAGGGTATAAGCAGTTGATTCAGATTCATGAAGTCTGCCCTGAACACCAGAAAGCTCATTCTGGAGTTGATAATTCTGATCGTACTGATCCTTTAGCTCCCCCTTTATCTTCTCAAGCTCAGAAAAGAGACAGTCAACCTTGTCCTCTAGCTCGTGCTTAGATTTGGTAGAAGAACGGAGATCAGCCTCGAGATTAGAGAACTTGCTCATCCACGTGTCAATCTCTTTTTCCCGACCAATGACCAACCCCTCGTAATGTTCAATCATATCATTAAGCTCGTCGTTAGCTTGACATTACACATAAACCCGAGATGGCGGATCAGTTCGAAGAATGACAGCGAAATCAGAAAAATGAAGCGGAACTAACCCGAGATGAATGATGAGCATGAAGCAGGTAACGTTCGCGAATCGCAGAGCGCCATTTGTCAAAATCCGGCAGGATCGGGCCTGATCGAGTTTTAAAGCACCGAAAGACGTTACCCTCTTTCTCCATGGCTACGAAAGCAAAAGAGGAAAAGTCTTAGAAATTCAGAATAAATATAAGGCGAAAAGAAACGTATACATATATATCATCAGACCTGAGAGCGATTTGATCTGAGGAACAAGAGCAGGCTTAGTCTTCGAAGGGTCATCTCGAGACTCAGAACTTTCTTTCTGAGGAGTTGCACTCTGGTTCGTCTTCTCGCCACTACGTTGGGAAGAAGAAGACATATCAACAGGACGAGGAGGACCCATTGGTTCAGTAGGAGGGGACGATCGAGGAGAACGGTCAGTCCGGGCCCTTGACTTCTCTCTCCGCGGAGAAGAACCACTGCGAGATGACCTGTCCCTCTTCTTGCGAATCAAATCCTTAAGCGGTTCGTTGCTAAGGTCATCTCGGGGAGGACGAGAAGAGTCATGATGAGGAGATTGGGGCCTCCGAGGAGGACGGTCATCACGACGTTCACGCCGAGGTGTCAATCTGAAAGCGGTGACGAATCTGGCTCCTTTGGTGCTACCGTCGTCAACTAACAAGGTTTTGCTATAATCTTTTTGGTCAATGGCGGTCGCAAGGAACGCCTTGTTCTCATCACATGCCTCAGCTATCGGCTTGGAGATCATTTTTCGCTAGGCAGTAAGGGCCCGAGCTGACATTCCCTAGGTTGAGGGAGGAGGCGGAAGACGATGAAGTTGATTGGGAGGGCTCATCCTGAGTTTTCGATTGGCTTCTATGAATCGATCGAGGGTGAAAGAATTCCAAAGGGTTTCCCCTTCGAGGATTATTTTGAAGAAGCCGATGAATTCTTCAGATGGTAGAGTTGAAGCGATGGAAGCTGCGAAGTGAAACAACAAGTTAATTAGCAAAAGTAAATAAAACAACCGGAAAGGATATATGCAACCTAATTTCTACCGGGCTTCGCAGACCACTTCGATGGAAGTACATCGGAAAGATTTCCGATCGAAGCAGAAGTCTTCCTAATCAAGAACCAAGGATGGTGCCAGTTTTCATCCTTGTTCGGAAGGTGCGAGATGATATTTCTATTGGCGTTTGGATACGCCGAGAAATATCCCGTTTTCTTCGATGAACTTCTCACGCTTAGAAGCTCGTACAGCTCGGGGACTCCGATAATATATCCGGCCTCCGTCGTAACGGTTATAATCCCGAGGATGGTTCGAAGAAGATTAGGGGTTAGTTGAGGTAAGGCGATTTCAAAGGCAGGTAAATACCGGACCAGGGCCTCGGGAAGTGGGAAGGTGAGCCCGCAGCCCTTGAAATAGATCTCGTAAACACAGAAATAGCCTTCGCGGTGGTTTTCCGGAGATTCCGTAGGACCGGGCAGCATCGATTCCGCCATGATTTCAGACGGAATCTGACAAAGATCTCTCAATTGATTAAGAGATTGAAGAGTACATGTAGACATGTAGTGGGGACCAGGATGTCACCCGGACGAGTGCATTCGTCATTACTAGAGCCTCTTTCAAAAGATGGAGACTCGGGTCTATCAGGATCAGAATTCATCGAGGAAGATAAAGAAATTCAAAGAATGAAAAGAAAAAATTTAACGAAAGAGAGTCGGCGAAGGAAAGAAGAGAGAAGCTTCAATTAAAAGTGTAAGAGTAAAAGTAAAAAAAGTGATGATGATGAAAGAAGTTACCTCACGCAAGCTAGGTGATAATGATGGAACCGCCTTGGGAATCGTGGGGGGAGTGGAAAGGTTTTCTCGCTTTAATAGTAAATAATTAAGATACGGTCATGATGGCGACAGATGTCACGCGACCAAATATGGGTAGCGCCGAAATTAAAGGACTGACGGGATTTTGGCGGGAAAATCAGAAGATTCCTTAAAACGCAATCTTTCGTCATTAAAGCATTAAAGTCCTCCGAATTGGAATAGCACTTCGAAAGACTTGGGGGGCTAATTGTTGGTGTTGGATCCCGCACCAGTAGTCCGGGACCAACCAAAGATTGCCACGCAGCCAAGACGAAGGCCCATAAGGGATAAGGCCTATTAGGTCTGTAAGTTAAGGGTGCGGTCGAGGTGGTGACACCACAGAGAAAGTTTGAAGTGATTGCACCTCGATACGAGGGTGTGGGGAAAGAGAGGATTCTTGAGCAGCCAGATTTCCTTCACTACATTTCCGAGATAAGCAGCAATGTCCGGAGGAGACATCCCTGATGCATCATTGGCTGAAACTCTCAAAGCCATGCAGCAAGCCATGTCGGAAATGTCTCAGAAGTTCTCGAATGTGGAAACGGCTGTTGACTCGTTGCAAACAACCTAGGTATCTCTTAGTCAAAACGTCAGTACTATTCAATCTTGTGTTCGCTCTTTAAGTGCAGGAAACCACCTTGGAATCCGAAGAAGGATATTCAATTCGCCAAGCTCCCTTGCGCGAAATGGAACCAGCGGACAAACAACTCCTGGTCCTACTGATACGTTAGTTCAGCCGTTGGAGGGAGAGACACAGCTCGAAGATGAAGATCAACTTGCAGATCAATACGAACAGGAAAACCTCGACCAGTTCGAGACCATGAGGAAGGTTAGCCAGGAATTAAAAGAAATGAAATCAAAATTCCATCAGGCTACAAGTTCGGAGCCAGACATCAATCGAGTCATTGAAGAAGCTAGGCGAACACCTTTCATCTCGCGAATTGCAAGTCTAAGAATCAAAGATTCCAGGAAGCTCAAGTTGGACCCTTACGGCGGATTGGAGGATCCAAAGAGCTATCTCGCAACTTTTTTGATAGCTGCTGGAAGAGTCGAACTTGATGCAGCTGATGAGGATGCAGGGTACTGCAAGCTCTTTTCGGAAAGTCTATGCGGCCAAGCTTTAATGTGGTTTACCTAATTAGAACCGGATTCGATCAGCAATTTCGATGAACTATCAGCTGTGTTCTTAAAGCAATATTCCATCCTTATGGATAAAAGCGTTTCAGACGCCGACCTTTGGATTCTATCACAAGGACCAAATGAGTCACTTCGAGTTTTCACCACCAAATTCAAAGGAGTGCTGTCGAAGCTCCTAAAAATATCGCAGCAGTCAGCTTTATCTGCCTTACGAAAAGGATTGCGATATGATTCAAGGTTTAAAGAGGATTTAATACTTCATAAACTAGACACAATTAAAGATGCACTCTTCCGCGCAAACAACTGGATGGAAGTGGAAGATGAAAAAGAAAATTTCGCCAAAAGGAATAAACAAGAAAAACCGGCGATCAAAGGACCAAGAAAATTTGGGTCGCAACCCTTCAACAGTATTGTCGGAAAGCAATTCCAAGGAAAAGGAAAATCAAATACTTGGGTCCGTGATGAAAGTTTATTTTGTGACATCCATAAAGTAACCGGGCACTTAACCAAAGATTGTAGTGTCCTTAAAAGGCACCTCGCAGAGCTTTGGTCCAGCGGAGATCTTTCCAAATTCAACATAAAAGATTTCGTGAAAGAATACCATGAAGCAAGTGCTAAAATGAA